GGACCAAGTCTCTTCGTCGTCGGACAACGTGGCGGCCCCGGCCGACGTGGCTGCCGCTGCTGCCATCGACGCGGGTGCGTCTGCCGAACAAGTGGCGGACATTGTGACTGCCGTGGACGCTGGCGAGTCGCCCTCGGACGCTGCTGCGGATGCGGGTTTGTCGCATGCTGACGCTGCTGCAGTGGAAGCCCAAGTGGAAGACTCTGCGGACAACCACGCGCCTGCTGCCGACGTGGCTGCTGCAGCGGCCGCCGATGCGGGTGCCTCGCCTGAACAAGTGGCGGATGTCGCTGCGTCCGTGGATGCCGGTGCCTCTCCTTCGGATGCTGCGGCGGACGCAGGTTTGTCGTCGTCTGCGATTGCCACTGTCGAAGACATCGTAGACAAGTTGGCTTTTGTACCTTGCACAACAACCCCTGCACCTACACCCCGCCTTCGTGGTGCGTGTACTAGTTCTAACTTTGCCGCGTAATTATATTGATAATAAGAACAGCTAACGTTAGTCAACCCATGAAGTGATAATAACAGATTTGTTGATCGATTTAGTGGCCAATCAGAGAATATACGTCTTATATTGATCTTGACACCTGTGGTTGGTAAATAACTCTGTAAAAAGGCTGAAAACTAATTGATTGGTCAAAACGAAAAGGAACAAGCCAATGAATTTGGGTATGCACACTCGACGGTTCTTCAACCCAATTCAAAAAATCGTCATCGCCGGTCGACTCTCCCGACTCCCGCCCACTTCCTTGCAACACCACACGCACTCGTCGATACCTCTTGCAGCCTTGTGCGATGGAATACGTGCGGCAACTAAACCTTGTGCACATGACAAAGATGGAGGCGCTTCTTCGGATTGTCACCGTGGACGTGCCCACAATCATCTTTGATCATGTGCCGTTTTCGGACCAAGCTGTCAAGTACTTCTTCGTGTACATCATGCTTCAGGTTGACGTGCATTAGCCAACATCATCTGATGCGCTATGTATGTCTAGGCGTTGGCGATTCTGTGGGGGTTTCTCTTCAACCTTGGCACCATGGTTGGGGAAAACGTGATTGACATCGTCACGATGCCGTTCTTGCAAGCGTCGTGCGTGCTGTTTGTGCACTACGCCGTGATTGGCATCATCTTGGGCATCGGCCGAACGACATGGATCCTTACGTGGCAGTCTCTGACGAACTTCCCATACATCCGTCGCATCATGCTACGCGAGTCGTCCCCGCAGGTCGTCGTGTTGCTGTCTTCGATTCCCATCCTGCTCCTGCTCGTGAGCCTCATTCTCGTGCCATCGTTCTGCACAAATATGGACACCGCCGAAGTGACAAATACTTTGTGCAAGTCCAGCTACATCCGGTACCTCACTCCGTCGTATCCCGTGTTCCAGCGGTCTCTGCGCCTCACCACCGTCATTGCGTCGGCCCAATTCCTCCAAGTCGTCATGGAAATCTTGCCACCGTGGAGCTCAATCATCGCCAGTACGTCTCGTGCTTTCATTGTCACCATGTTGAGAATTCTGTGTGCTAGAAACGGGTACCCGCCACCTGGTCGTGCTCGGGATGTCGTTGGCGGCCCTGAACGGCTGTACGATCCTATGGACATTTGAGTGGCTGCTGCGCCACGGCCAAGTCAAGACGACTTCCCTAAGCGACCTGTCGCAGCTACGCTGGGAGACCCTCGGCCTCGTGCTGCTGTGCCTCTGGATGGTGTGGTTCCTCACCCTGGTGTGCCACAGCTTCCCGCTCTCGTACGCGTCCAGGACGGACGACCGGTCGCTGTCCGGCTTCTTCAGGCGCCTCAAGGTGACCTTTCTCACCGGCCAGGCCATCGTGTTCATGCGCGCGTGCGTCCACCCCCAGATGGGCTTTGTCCACGCCCAGCTGGAGCTCACCATCATCAACCTCCTCCTCCCGCTCTTCTACGTGTTCTCTCTCCTTGTGCTGCGAGGGTTCTACCTGAGCTCGTTCCGTAAGGTGGTCGTGGCCGCCCCGCTCTCCCTCGTTCTCGCCTATGGCATCCACCGCCACGCCGCCATCGGCAAGGGACACACGTACTGGATCATCAGTTTGTTCCTATTCGGCGCGTTCCTTCGGTTGCTGCAGCCGTCGCGGTCGCTGTTCTCGTCTGCCGATACCCAGAAAGGCATGAAGTCGCACCCGACGCAGCGCGTGGCCCTGCGCTTCGTCTTGGCGGCGTCGGGTATCTTTACGCTGTTTCTGCTCTTCATGATCGGGTTTGGCGCGCTCACATTCCTTCAGCGAGAGAAGGAGCACTTTCCGGCCATGGCCACCGTCCAAATCGACAGCGACGGGCGACTGGACGTACGACACGCCAGCGTTGTGCGGCTGCAGCTAACACTCGCCACCGCCTCCCCCCCCCCGATCGCCCCCCGCCCGCCCCACTACGCCAGCTGCGGCAACCGCTGGTTCAACCTGAGCCTCGTCGACTACGCCCTTCTGTCCCAAGCAGCCTACTTCAACCCGCAAAACAACCAGCTAAAGGACTTTGTCGCGAGTGTGTTTCCAAGTGCATCGGCTCTCCCAATGTTTGACATCCGGTTGCCCGAGAATTACACTGCGCATGGCTCGAAAGTCGAGTTCTTTGAGGTATGCGTGTATTTCGTACTTGGTTGTGTTTGGTGAAATGTACGATGACTGTAGGCGTACTCCAAGGACCTGAACGTGTCTGTGATTTCCGTACGTGGGACGGACGTGGGTCGGTTTCGAGATTTCATCGAAGACGCGAAAATGTACGCCGAGCCGGTGATTTTTGTGATTTTATCAAGCATTTTCCCCACCATCCGCATGTGGCCCGACGGTAATCACCCCCCCCCCCATGTGTTTGTTGATCGGATGGCCACTTAGTCACGTTTTCGACGTTGATTGAACTGTATCACGAAATGGCCACCATGTTTGGACTCACCCACGAGTACTGGTACTACCACGAACTGCTCCAATACGTCAAGTCCATCCACGACCGCAACGTGATCCTCACGGGGCACTCCCTCGGTGGCGCCATCGCCAGGTACGTCTGCTCGAAAAGATCTTCTCGCTCAAAAACAACATCTGCAGGGTCGTGGGGTCGGTTCTGGGGAAGCCGTCAGTGTCGTTTTCGCCCCCGGGTATTGAAATAAGGCGAATGAATGCACAGACGCTGTCGTCAACGATGGTTTCAAACCGTAGGATCTGGTCAAACGTACAGCAAACTTGTGCACGACATTGCCGGCCAAGACATGCAAGTGGATCGCAGTCGCCTCCACCACGAGTCCACGTGTGTGCTTCCAGGTATAATACGATTCCCAACAATCCAAGTGACCTAACTTATGTGTCGGGGGTGGTAGAGTACGACCCCGTGACGATGATCGACACCCAGTCCGGACTCATCCAACGGTCCCCCTTATACCCCTCCGTTTGTTTGGTCTGACGTTGTTGTCGTGAGTAGCATCACGTGCGACACGCCGCACTTGTCGATGCAGTTGTCCTGTCACATGATCCAAGGCACGCTGTGCAACTTGCTGCAGCACTGCGGCGACGACCGCGGTCGGTTTTCGTCGTGCCAGTTTGAGCACCGCATCACGTCGCTGTCGCAAGACGTGTTCGAAGCCGTGTTCGTGGACGTGCTGTCCCCCACGACTCTGTCGGGGCTGCTCATGGCCGTCGCACTCGTGCTGTCGCTCGTCCGGCACAAGATCATCACTCATCGGCGCCTCTCCGTCACAGCGGCTTCACCTTCCCCCAGCAACCACAAGACTAGCCACGACCCGTCTCGATAGTAAACAATACGAGACGACGTTGTTGAACCCTGTCACAGTAAATTCAACCCAGTGAAGCTAGTATGCATCGAATGCTGTTGGTCCCGTCGCTCTTTGACTTGTCGGTGCTTCAACTCCCTCTCCGCCTTCTTCACTTGAAGCCCTTTGTCTATCGTTGGCCGGTCGACGTCAGCAAGATTGAGGACAGGGCCCCCACTGCTTCCGACCGTGAGCTCAGGGAGCACAAGCCGGCCACTCGCCGACTGATTCGTTTGATTTTGTCTTCGACTGTGCACGGCCTGCACGTGTTGTCGCTTCCTCTCGCTTGATTGCGTACGGTCCTGTTGATGAGTGATGTCGTCTTGGGCCAGTCGTGCCGACGGGGCGGTGTGCGGAACCTTCTGCAACGGATTAAGTCGCAGCGGGTATGCTGACGAGTTTCCCAGTACAAAGGATGCTTCGAGGGAAGACAAATCTGGGGGTGGACAAGGATGGCGGGGGATAGTGGGTGGCTTGAGGGGTCGGTGGTGGGGCTTGGAAGCTACCGCCCGCTCCTCCTTTTGTTGATTCGGACCCAGGTGGAGACCTCCTGACAACACGAGATCGGGCTCTAGCTGGTTGTTTACGCGGGGCAACGTACGTCGACCAGAACCTTTGTCCATCTTGCCTTTGGATGGTGCAGAAGCTTTATGCGTCTATCAAGAAATGAGTGAACGCCATGAATGGGGTCGCAAACATAACGCGATAATCAAAGCACCAACGTTACTACCATTGGTCCATCCAATGTCAAGAGTGTTCCGCAAGGCTTGGTCATCAACGGCATCACAGAAAAAAGTGCTGGCAGCATCCCAGACCCGGTTGTTGAGGTCTGAACAAACAACCACAGATCGTCAGAACACTAAGAGTATTCCATGAGCAATGATTGGCCCCCGGACGAACCACGTCTGACGTAGGGTGAGCTGGTGCCTTTTTCCCATCGCTCAAGTGGTGGAGACCTGGGAACAGTACGTGGTCGCACGCAGGGGCATTCGGACACGTGTACTTATTGCTGAGCACATGCTGCAGCAAGCAGCTTTCATGAAACGTGTGCTAAAGGGACCACCGTCCAGTGAGTTGTGCATTTATGCAACGGATTCACCCGACTTGGCACGGAAGCGAGCGGATGGAAGCGGCGATCCGAAGACTCTGTTGACACACGGTGCACCACGATGTCGCATTTGGTTGGGCAGGGACCCATGCCTTTGTGTCTGTGATCTACAATTCCAAATCGTAAGTTCCTTGCATCTCGCTCCTCCTTGATCGCACATGCTGCCCCGTCATATTGGCCATCAAGTAGTCTTGGAGGGGGTACTTTTCCGCTGCATCGAGCTACATCAATCATCGCGTAAACACATGGCAGCAGTAGAAGGGGGGGCTCATCTACCTCCATGAGCATGTCGTAGTCTGCGTTGGAAAGTTCGCGGCCTTCGAGGTCGTTGATGGCTTGTGGACTCAACAACGACGACCGAACCGTTCGAAGGGCTGGAAACCACGTGCCTTTGTGTGCCTTCCGCACCACAAACGAGTGCTTTGCATGCGCATTCGATTCTACACGACAAACGTACGACTTTTCATAGGTGTTGGCGGCTCGTGGACAGGACGTACTGAAACATCGTTCGCACAGGTCGACGTGTTTGCACTGGAGGCATCGAAAGCGTTGGCACCGAATGGGTTTGGTTTGGCATTGCTTGCAACTTGCCCCAGAGTGGACGAGGGGGTTTCGGTTGGACACGTCGGCTTCCTTTTTCAGCTCCGAGAGCGCCGAGTCGCCCCAATCGTGGCGACACAACGGGCAAATGATGTTTTCCTTGGCCTGCTTTCGACTTTCGCCCAGGATCTTCACTGTGACAAAATGAGTCCAACAGCCATGACAAGTCCAAAGCACAACATACTGCAGTCGATGTGAAAGTTGTTGCCACACCCTCGTTTGCAATACGTCAAGTTGTGCTGCGCTTCCATCATGTCCTCACGGCAGATGGCACACACTTCCCCGTTCACTACTGTGTGCCGAACGCATTCCTTGCCAAGTCCGTCGCCATTGGTTTCTGGGGACGCTTCGTCCTCGAGCACCTTTCGCCGTAGAAACGGCTTGCGTCCCCCACCGCCGTCAACTTGACTGTACCCTTCCGTAAGCACCATGTTGGTCTACACCACTCGAGTCAGCCAACGAGAAGGAGGGAGACAAAGACGCTTTACCTCTGAATCAATGAGAGATCGTTGCCAAATCACTGGATTTGATGCTGGAACGCGCAAGATCTACAAAGTCGGTTCATGTTGCATCGATGCGCATGGTCGGCGCAATCCACGTACTTTGAGCATGACAAAGAGCAAGTGACAGCAGATTTCCTTGTCCCCGCACGAGCAAGACTGCACAGACCCAATGAGTACTCTGTGCTTTTTGTCCGAATTCGGCTCTTGGATCTAGCCATATGACGCTTTGGTATCGTCAACAAACTATGGGCTCGTACGCACCACATAATTCGTGGGACCCGTGGTTTGAACCAAGTACATGGTCATCGCGAGGGTTTGAGCCACACGCTCCTTGACCAAGTCGGGGATCTTCATGCGGTATGGCGCCAATCGCGCCATCACTTTCGACAGTTACACTTTGAAACACCTCACAGTAAGTTGCACTTACGACAGTTTCACTTTGAAGTGTATGACAGTTACACTTCAACCTCACAGTTTAGCCAGTTTCGAAATTGACGCTGCTGGTGCTATGGGCATACTTTGTTGAAGTCACTTCTATGGTATGGAGGAATGTCTCTTGCGCAATTAACGGCCTAACTAAAGCAAAAGCAACTAATGATGTGATTATTTTCTATCTACCACGGCAACTATAAATTTAGTCATCCAAACTGAAGTAGAAGAGTTGAGTCTATGGCTCTAATAAGCACGCATCTGTTGATATTCCAACGTTGAACAACGAACGCCCGTGAATCCCCTCGCCTGCATATTTGTAGTCGAGAGGGTTTTATACTTTCGTGTATTTGCGAGCATGATCGTGCCACCCATGCGAACATACTGATGAGGGCACAGTCGCAGCAAAAACAGCGTCAATCAGGCGCACATCATTCCATTACGCCACGTAGTTATAGAGCCGTCGGTCCGACTGGTTTCGTGTCAAGTACTCGCGCTCGATCAAACTTTCGATGCGGCGCTTGATCATTTGTGGACTCGGGACAAAGCGCGTCGTGAGCTGGCGCGTCACCTCCGTCATCAAGTTGTTGTGCTGCATGCTCTTGCGGGTCTTCATGATGCGCACGATGGCCGCTTCCACCAGATGCTTGCGGTCCTCCTCCACGGTCGGCGGCAGCTCCGTCGGTGGGGCTGCCATGGACTCGGCACTCCCGGGACTGTCCTTCACCGATACGAGGGGGATGCGGACCTTGTGCAGCTTGGACTTGTACTCGTGGTTGATCGTAAACACGTCGTCGTCTTCGATCGTCTTGCCCTTGGACGACTTGAGCACGATGCGAAACTTGGGCGTGCACAGCGAAATCAAGTGCCGCCGTAAGTCGACGGGGTCGATGCCTGTTTTCTCCTGGATCTCTCGAAACACCCAAGTCGGGCGTTCGTTGAACAGCATCAAGATGCACATTTGGAACGTCGACACGGTCAGCTCGTGGCGCACCATCGTGTCCCCTACCAGTCCCCCAACATGTGTCAGTGACGTCCTCTTGCCATGGGCTTCGTCCTACCGTGCCCAAAGGTGGCTTTGATGTCGGCCGAGCCCATATTGTGCAGCCACGTCAGCTTGCGCCCGTTGTGCCTTCCAAAGTAAAACGTTTCAAAGCGTTGGACCCAACTCCGCACGCCCGGCGGCAAGTGACTCGCGGCGCTCGACGTTTCCGTGGGCCAGTACCCCATCGTCAGCACCTGCACACTGAGCAGCGGGTTCAGCTTCTTGAACCCGTCCATGAGGTCCTTGGTCATCGCCATGTCCTTGAACATCCCTTCCAGCTTGGACGTGAACTGGTACCCGCACTCGGCCTTGAGCTTGGCGATCACCATCTTCTCGCCCTCGTCCGTCGACCCCTTCGCGTGCAGCAGTCGCTTGGCCAGAAACCGCTTGTAAAACTCTTCAAAGACGTCCTTGTCACTCAAGTACCGGAACAATCCGACCACTTTGTCGGCTTGACGCTCCAAATCAGCTTCAAAGCGTGACTTGGACTTGAGCAAGTCGTCCACGTACTGCGCCAACGTGTACGCACACAGCCGCGACGTGTTCATAAACGCTTCAAACCTGTCATCACATCAATATAATCTCCATCACCATGGACACAAAAAATAGACGGACCCGCGCTGAATGCACTTGTGAAACGCCTTGTCGTCGGCCCAACACGACGTCAAAAACCCCATGAATTTGTCCTGGAGGGTCAGCAGCGCGTTCACAAACTGAAGCGCCGACTCGGTCGAACTCGACTGCGTTTGCTGCAAGTTGAGCTGCGCTTGAACCAGGTCCAATCCAGTCGTCTTGATGTACGTGGTCACGGCGGTCCCAATGTCGTCCAGCGTCGCGGGCACGCGTTTGAATAGCACGTACATGCGTCGCAAATCTAAGCCCATGTCAACAGAGGTTCAAACCAGTTAGCCAGACGTACCTGCAACTTTGTCGTCGCGAAACATGGCGACGCACCCCGAGCCTTCCATGTCAACGAGCGCCTTGGCGTGATTGGCAATCAGCTCCCTCTCGACGATGGCCTTGAGCTTAAGCTCCGTGGACGAGTTGAGGTACTGCATCACACGATGGTGCTCCTCCGTGAGTCGACGGTCCGCCTTCTCCATGAAGTCGGGGCATGTGTTTTGATCGAGCAAGCGCTGCGCCTCGGCGTTGTAGAAGGCTGCGGTGGTGCTCAAAAACTCGTTTTCAAAGTCTTCTTCATACACGCTGTTCGACCGCACACCCAAGTCTACGAGCATGCCCAAGATGTCCTTCATCACACCGCGGTCAATCAGTTCGCCGTTGCGCTCGAGGTCGATGTTCGCCAGCAGGTGCCACTTCAATCGATCCTTCACCTGGGGGTGCCGCGCAATCGACTCGAGAAACAGAACCAACCCCATGTCGTAGATCAGCATCTTGCGCTTCTGGGACACGTACGTGCGGTCCATATACATCAAGATGTCCCGAATCATGGTCATCGTGATGGTGTGGTCCGTCCACGCCGCGAAGAGCTGGGTCATCAACGTGTCGTCCGTCGCTTTGATCACGCGATCGGCCATCTGAACCAGGTGCTCTGTAATACACTCGACCACCCCCGAGTACAACATGTCCCCATGTTTGTGCAACACCATGTTGTACGAATTCCTATGTTCGCGTTAGCATGAGATTCCATGAAGATGGCGGTGAAGGGTATCTATTACGTTCCAAATCCACATGAATCATGCATAGATGCGTTGAACGTACCGGTAGAGCTCTTCAAATGACAGAAGGGACGCATTGTGTCCGTGGATTTCTCCGATCGCACTTCGAAGGGACTGCCATGTCTCCTTGGCTTTGTTCACGTCCATGCCAATGTTGTTGCGGAAGGGCTTCACTACAAACTTCTTCCGACCGGCATCCATACTTGTCTGACTCGCCTGCGATAGTTCCTTCCCCACGAGATGTCTTCGCTGTTGCCAACGTTGGGGTAGCGCAAATTGGGCGAAAAGTTCCACTGAGTTTTGTTTCCGCAGAAACCCTTTGGAATATAATAACTGTGAAAATGCTTGTACTTAGATTCCCAATTATGAACCCACTCCCAAAAACCTCTAGCAAATCATACTGGCCAGTTCACCACACATGTAACCTTATAAGGGCACAGTAGTAAGTCGAGAATAGGCTACTGATCAAACCATTGGTGATCAAACCATTGGCCAGGGTGGGGCATCTGATTTGCTGTACACTTGCCGATGAGGTTGCAGCTCATTGTAGATTTGCGACCCATCACGTTAAAACCGGTCGACCTTGAGCAACGGCGATACCTCGTGATAACGACCGTAGTGCAGTAAACGTTGCAGGTTTGCTATTCTAGTTATATGTATTAATAGTAGTTACAGTAACGTTGGCCACGAATGGTGCCAGCGGTTGTTGTGTCGATGTGTTTCAATTGAATTGACCAATGAGTTGACCATTTCAATTGAATTGACCAATGAGTTGACTGCATTTTATAGTATACTCCGACGAGTATAATGTGAAATAATATTCACGTTCATCACAATTGAACGACGACGAGTATAATTGAAATAATATTCACGTTCATCACAATTGAACGACCATCGCGCAATCAATTGTGAGTACCAACGCCACTTTCGATTTCACGATTTGGGAGCAAGGATGAAGTTCACCCTCGTCGCCATCATGGTGGCCGCCTTATGTGCCTTCACCGGCGGCCGCGCTCTTCGGGAGGGGACGGAAGAGCAGACAACGCTCGACCCACTGGATACAACCCTCGCAAAACTCAACGTCGCAGCGCTCATCGTAGCTGGCCGTGGGTTGACTGAATCCTCTGTCATGCAAGAGACTACTGCGCCTCCTACGACCACGAAAAAGACGAAAACACGGAAGAAGGTGAAAAAGGCACAGAAGGCGAAGAAGCCTAAGAAGGCGAAAAGGACCAAAAAGCCTAAGCCGACCAAAGCTAAAAAAGCAGCAAAGTCGAAGGCCATCAGAAAGACCAAGACGCCTCGCACCCGAAAGCCTCGTCGCGCCCGAAATCCTCGCACCAAGAAGCCTTAGGGATTCACTAACAGCAGCGGCATTAACCTGCAATTACATTTGTGCTTACCTGCAATATTAATAGTATTTGTTCGATCACTCATTAACATTTCTTGACATCATTCGGATAAATGAAATATTATCCGGATGGTGACGCTTTTTACTCGGTTTTTTGGCCGCCCATATTGGACTGTGCAACATCAATCGAAAGATGAGTGCTGACGATGGAATTCCTGAAGGAACCTTGCAAAACCTGATCGACCAAAAGTCGCTCCGATGGATCTTTGTCGGTGGAAAGGGAGGTGTAGGGAAGACGACGACTTCATGCTGTTTGGGCGTGACGCTTGCTTCGCATCGGGAGAAGGTGCTGATCGTGTCCACGGATCCTGCGCACAACTTGAGCGATGCGTTCAGCCAGCGCTTCACGCGCGAACCGACCCTTGTGAACGGATTCTCGAACCTGTTCGTCATGGAAATCGACCCCACCATTGAGGTACCGTGGCCCACCCCATCCATGTTATCCTGACCGACCTCATAGATGGAAGAAAGTGCCGATGGGGTGTCGGATGAATCTGGCATGCAATCGTTCATGAAAGACTTGACGAATTCGATTCCCGGCATTGACGAAGCCATGAGTTTCGCAGAATTGATGAAGCAAATCCAAACCATGGACTACGACGTGATTGTGTTTGACACGGCGCCGACGGGGCACACACTGCGTTTGCTGAGCTTTCCCACGGCATTGGACAAGGCCTTTGGCAAGATCATGGCGCTGAAGAACCAATTCTCGGGGATGTTTGGCCAAGTGTCGGCCATGCTCGGCGGCGCGCTCCCTTCGGAGGAAGCGCTCGTGGGCAAGTTGGAGCAGACCCGCGAAGTGATCCAAAAGGTAACCAACCACCAACCCCCTTTCCATGACTCTTTAGCTTGCCCGCTAGGTGAATGCGCAATTCAAGGACGCGGACCGCACCACGTTTGTCTGCGTGTGCATCCCCGAGTTTTTGTCGCTGTACGAAACCGAGCGGTTGGTCCAGGAGTTGACCAAGTACGACATTGACGTTCACAACGTGGTTGTGAACCAAGTGTTGTATCCAGAAGAAGGTAATATAATTCCTTTTCCATTGCGGAATATATATATATATTCGATATATATATATCAAATCCACAGATCTAACGGTCACGTGGTAGGGTCGACATGCAACAATTGCTCGGCGCGGCAAAAGATGCAGCAAAAGTACTTGGACCAAATCTATGACTTGTACGAAGACTTTCACGTGTTGGAAATGCCGCTGCTCAATGAAGAAGTGCGCGGCGTGCCGGCGCTCAAGTCATTTGCGAAAAACATGATCACGCCGTACCAAGGCTAAGGAAGCTTACGTCGTAACAAGCACGCAAATGGAATCCCGAGTGTTTATTCTTACGACGAATCGCCGCTGCTGTCGCTGTAGGCTCCCACTAGCGCCACCACGGGCGCTTTCACTGGTTTCGACGCTGCTATCTTGTTAGTCTTTGGCGTTTTGGCTTTGATTTTGATCGATGGTTTGGGTGCCACCACCACGTCGTTGTTTGTGTGATCGGAGGTCAACCCGGCACCACTGGATTTCGCCACCTTGTTGGCGACGTTGATCGACTCGGTGGGCGCTAGCTTTCGCTTGCGGAAGGCTTCCATTTGTGCCTGAATGGCAGCTTCGTCCAATATGTGTTCGGACGGCGCCGGCTCGTCCACTTGTTTGAATTTGGTCAAAATCGCATCCGTGTCGACCTTGGCATGGCGCTGGTTGATCGCTTTGATCTCGTCGAGGGCGTCGATGATGTCCATTTCCCGCTTCGAGTCCAACGTTCGATTCTCCAATGCCTTCATCGAGTCTCCTTTCTCCTCTTCCTCCCGTTCCTTGAGAATGGCTGCCTCGTCAGCTTCGCGCTCGCGCCACTGCTCAAAGTTCCGTTTGCATCCGTGTTCGGTGGCATAGTCCCCGTTCTTCGGATCAGTCTTGAACGTGATCTCGTTGGAGCACATGGAACATCGAATGTAAAACCGAAAGATCTTGACGCCAAAGTAGTCTTCGTCCATCACGTCTTCCTTGCGCGAGTTAAACTTCTTCCCTTGGTACATGAACTCGCCACACGCATTGCACTGGATCGAAAACGGTAACATCATGCGCACCTCAATCTGCTTGTTCTTTGGGATCTTCCGCCGAGGGATGAGTCTCGGGTCGAAGTCCGGCGGGAAGTACTTGTTCAAGACCTTGCGTTCCCCCATGCTGCTTCTGTCGCTTGGATTTGATGTGTGGCACGCACCTCTCGATTATGATTGGTCAAATGCATATTCTAGTATGTACTATAGTATCGTGGGTTAATAGTACAGTTCTATTAATACGTACTAGTATTATAGTATTAATACTACTAGTATTATTAATAGTAGTACCAGTAGTATACAGTATACTATTAATATGAACACACCGAACTATTTTTGGTATATTTTGAACAATCACTACTCGTGTGCCTGGCATATTTGGCGGTGTGCCAGATATAATTACACTGTAGCCGTGTGCCCAAGTAATTGGCCATCTGCCCGATGAATTGTGCGATGAAAATGGAATAACTCAAATAATTACATCGTAGTACAGTACAGTATATATATTTCATTGACAGTGAATGCAAATCAGTTTTGGTGGAAGTGGTTGAAGTTCGGAGGAAAACGCGCGAAGGCAAGAATTCGAAATTTATACTTGAATAAAGTATAGTTAAATTCATAATGCGCGCGCTGCTTTTCTCCAACGTATTGAATGCTCATTATTCAAATCGCCAAGGAACGCACAGCAAGGGCTCTGGTAATAATAATGTCAATTAAAGTATTGCCCCTATACTTCAACGTTCCGTCCATACTTGAACTCCCTCCAAAACTTGAATCTGTCGCGCGCAGAGCTCACTTTTCGATTTACCTCAAGGTACGCACCCTCGATGAACGCGCGGAGGCCATGGGCAACATGGGCGTTGGTACACTTCACAGCAACGATGCTGCATGTGTCGTTTAACGACCATTTCTATATTGAATTGACTTTTTATTGCCATTTTCATTGGGCACAACCTGTAACTC